TCTCTTGCACGTGATCATGTAGAATATTCCGCCTGCACCGATTCCGTTGACTCTGGTCCCAGTGTACCATGGTGTACTAGTAGTACTACTACTAAGCGATGGCCTTGACACGTGCGCCGGTGTTCCACCGAGCTTACTCCGTGTGTTTGCTGCTGGGCCTCTGCCTTCATGTACTGAGTACTCCAGCACTGCGGGTGATGATGCATCATGTATTGAATCTGTCTATGCACACTCTGTGGGTAGTCCAGAGGCCTGCGTGCGTCCACAGGCTGTTTATGGCCTGGCAGGGCCTCAGCCACCTGTGGAGGGCGACTTTGCTCCCAGTGGATCAACGCCTACTGTGGATGGACCGGCTGTTGGAGTGCCTGAAACAGAGCAAAGTCACTGCACAAGGGAGACGCCTTGTTCGCCTTGTAGTAATTCCAACCCTGATAAGCTTGGAGGCATTCTAACCAATCTCAGTGAATCTGGTATTCTGGGCCCTGGTGGTTTGAGTATGGATCTGGAGTGGTCAATCAGGCACCTCTGCATCAATCGCAAAATAACCACACCTGGTGACGTTGCCAGACCTCTGAGCGGTGTTTTAGTTGGAGTACAGAGCTTGCAGTTGACAGGTCGGCCAAGACTCATTGTCCCCAGAAAGGTCCCTAGCCGTGCACTTTCCAGCAATGTTGCCTTGGTCAACGGTGGCATGAGACTGTTCCTGTTGGGTTTACCCCTGCCTCTGTCTTTGGAACTCGCCAATCAGCTCACCTATGCAGCGGCGGTGCTGGTCTTGGTGGTGTCTGGTGTTGCACCTTGCCGTTTGAGTGGTGGTGATCATGGGAGGGAGACTGCGCCAGCCTGGTTGTTGCGGATACAACGCAAAATTGAGAATGTGAGGAAAGACGTGTCGCGCCTCACAAGTTTCATCCAAGCTGGAAACCCAAGATTGTTCACCAGATATCCTGTCAAGAGCAGTGATGAGGCCGCGGCTCTACTCGAAAGCAAGAAAATGGAGCTGCTGGCGCTTTCCGCCAGAATCAGACGGTATAAGGATAACATCAAGAGAAAACAACAGAATCAGGTATTCAGAGAGAACGAGCGCCAGTTCTACCGCTCTCTGGGGACACAGGAGGCTGACTGCAGTGACCAGACTCGGCCTGGTATGGGGGCGTTGCATGATTTTTGGTCAGGCATCTGGTCCGAGCCATTTGCGGTGAGCAGACATGGATGGATTGAACGGGAGGCTCTTGCCTATCAAGATGTCCAGCCACAAGAGGATGCATTCATAACGCCGGAGTTGTTCCAACTGGCAGTTGGAAGGATGCCTCACTGGCGTGCTGCTGGGCCTGACAACATCAGACCATTCTGGTTGAAGAAGTTTAGTGCACTGCATCCTGCCTTGCTTCGCATATTCCAGCGGCTGTTGGATTCGGAAGTCGTGCCACCGCCCTGGTTCTCCCTTGGTGCAACCGTACTCCTACCGAAGAAAGGTGATCTGTCGAAACCCCAGAACTGGAGACCTATAACCTGCCTGCCTTCTATGTATAAACTTTTCACATCTGTAGTATCGGAGCTTATGTGGTCTCACATCACCGCTAACAGTCTGCTGGCCCCGGAACAGGTCGGATGTGCACGTGGCCGAGGAGGATGCACAGATCAGTTGTTGATCAACAACATGATTATTGAAGATGCCAAATGCCACCAGCGCTCCCTCAGTATGGCATGGCTAGACTTCCGAAAGGCCTTCGATAGCCTTTCCCAAGAGTGGATCTGGGAAATTGCTACCATCTACAAGTTCGATCCTAGGATCATCCGCACACTCCAAACGCTGTCGGAGCAATGGAGCACACAACTGTGCCTTAGCAGCGGTGTCAGCGAGCCAATATCCATCCGACGGGGTATCTTCCAGGGTGATTCTCTGTCTCCCCTGCTGTTCTGCATCGGTCTCAACCCAATCTCAAACGAATTAGCAAGAAGCGGCATAGGATATCGTTGTGGACCCACGCGTGATTCCCTGTTTTATGTTGTCGCATCTATGGTACATGGATGACGTCAAGCTATTTGCCGCTAGCAGTACTGGACTGGACTCCTTGATCAACATTGTGGAGTGCGTTGGTGGGGCGGTTGGCATGCAACTATCTCCCACTAAGTGCTCGAAGATTGTCTGCCCGGCCGCTAAGCCAACCCAGGATGCAGAGCCTTCGTCAACCTTGCTAACAGAGTCGATCATTCATCCTCTGCAAGATGGCACGGCGTACCTCTACCTTGGCCTGCGGGAATTCCTGGGAATCGAGGCTGGTGAAGTTAAACAATCTGCCATCGCTGAGTTCCGTCGCCGTCTTCGCTTGATCACGGATGCTTCACTATGTGCACCAAACCTCATCAGAGCAATCAACACCTACGTTCTGCCAGTGGTGTCCTATGGCCTTGGCACAGTCGTTCCTTGGACCGCGGATGAGCTCCGCTCGCTGGACAGGACAGTGAGGAAGGCTCTGACTGCTAGCAGGGCCCACCACCCACGTGCCTCAATCCGTCGCCTATATCTACCGCGGAGTGAGGGAGGTCGTGGCCTAGTATGCATCGTAGATCTCCACGACCGTACTTGCATCCGGCTCGCTCAGTACCTGAAGGATCGGGAAGATGTCCCTGCCCTGGCCGCTGTTCTCCAGCACCATGAATCACGTCCCTTTAGAAAATCAATACCAAAGCTGGCAAATACTGTCCTGCAGCGCCTTCGCCTGACGAGCCTGGACACCGCTAACAAAGAGACTGTTAAACAGGCCCTCAATGACAACCGCCGCCGTGAACTTCGAGCGATGCCTCTTCATGGTCGCTATTGGGCGCGTGTTGATGGCATCCTGGACATGCAGCTCTCGTTTTCCTGTTTCAGATCCCAGACAATGCGTCCTGAAACGGAAGGCTTTCTCATTGCTTGCCAGGATCAGGTGATTGCCACGAGAAACAATATGCGCCATATCCACAAGAGGCATGATGTCGTGGACCTCTGTCGTGTATGTGGTGCACCCGGAGAAAATATGGACCACATCATCGCCTGCTGTCCAGCCCTGGCACGGACTGCATACATTGCCCGGCATAACTTTGTGGTCCAGGCCCTGCATCGTGCGCTGTGTAAGCAGCATGGATTACCCAGCAGTAAGCAGCTGGTACAGGTCACAAGTTCTGCCAGTTGCAAGCTTATGTGGGAGATTTCCATTCCCACAGACCGAGTAATAAAAGCGAACAGACCAGACCTGGTGCTGGTTCTGGATGATCGGGCACTGCTCTTGGACGTCAGTGTCCCATTGGACCACAGGGTCAATGAGAAGGTGCAGGAGAAGATCAGCAAATACCTGCCCTTGGCAGCAGAGCTGAGGAGGATCTGGAACAAAAAGATAACTATTGTTCCAGTTATCATTGGTGCTCTGGGTGGTGTGTCAGGAACGAGCCGCAGCCACATCTTAAGCCTTGGGCTCCACGCGTCCGTGATCCAGCGGCTGCAGCAATGTGCTATTCTGGGCACCCTGAGAATTGTGCGGTCGGTGACTGGTCATGGATGGGAGAGTGGCATGGTCGGAACGGTCGGTTGACCTTATGTTAGCCTGCCCGTAATGTCTCGATGTGTCTCAGTCTGTGTGTTTTATGATTGTGGTGCATCATGTGCTGTGTGACGAGCCGAGAGGCGTGAATTTCTGCCATATGCCCCCAGTCATGTATTTTCTTTCTCTGCATATGCCGTTTTATCTCGTCTGAGTTTGTCTTGCTTGGAGTGTCCCATGTGCAGCATGCTTGGTGTTTACTACTTGAGTAGTTCTGTTATACATGACTGCGATTTTATGTGAGTATCGAAGTTGGTATAGTTGAATTTTTCTCTCATGAAGTTTATCAAAATTTTCTTCAGGATTTTCTTTTATCTTCATTGATTGGTGCTTCACCCTTGGGTCATATGGATCCCGGTGCTGTGCTTCATGCCTCCTTTCAAGCTTTCTTTTTCTGCTTTGGGAGTGAATAAAGTCGTCATAATAATAATAATTTCCCGTTTGTCTCTTTCCCTCAAACTAGTGAAGATGTTATGACTTGGGGCTCCCCGCGTGCTAGAGTGTACGTGAAGTGTGTGGGTACAGTGAGGGCTGCGTCCCACCCGCCTGTGTGGATTCACAGGAAGTGTGAGCTACGAAGTCTGAAGAAAATGTTGAACAGTCTCTGCTGGGATGGCGACTACACCATAGCTCAGTGGTTAGAGCATCGCTAGCTACAAGCGAGGGTCCCTGGTTCGAGTCCTGGTGGTGACAGTCAATTTTTTCTTCAGACTTTTCCCGTTTGTCTCTTTCCCTCAAACTAGTGAAAATAATAATAATAATAATAATAATAATAATGTGATATGGAAGAAATGATGAACAAAAAATTGTACTTCGAACTAGTTTTCGCACAACACTCCTCAGGAAGCTACGTTGTACTAATGAAAAACAATCCAGAAAGATACTAATAAAGAGAAATGGAGTGAGAAGAAACAACACCTATGAAAATGATAATCCTAGCACTAACGTAATAACAGGAAAAACTGCGAAAGCACTTAACGAACTTGTAAGGACTACTAGTATACTGTGACACAAGATATGACACCATGGCCAACCAGAGCCACACAGACAGAACAAGCTGCTACTAAAACAATTTCAAACGAATAATGCTGTCCTTCTGGACACACAGATTAGGCTTATGAATACGTTGACAAACAGCTTCTAACACACTCAACTGCAACTTATAACCATGACGAGCACGGTACAAAACAGAAAAAGAAGAATCAGAATAAACCTTGCAGCCATCAGGACGAGAAGCAAGATGCTTATACACTGATGACTTCCTACTAGAAAACACACGCTCGCACCCACTCTTACTCACACAATCATTCTCGCTCTCACACTCACCGGAATCACTGGACTCACTGGTCGAATCCTCCTCAACGACGTCCTGCCTCGGAGCAATCAGGTCCCGTCAGTAGTAAGTGCGGGGCAGGTTCTGGCACACTTTTTGACCTTTGACCTTTGGGCCAAATAAGGCACACTGTGTCGGTCGTGCTTGGTCTGGCCCCGGGACTCCCCCAGGGTTTGACCTTTGACCTTTGGGTTAAATAAGGCACACTGTATCGGGCGCGTTTGGTCTGGCCCCGGGACTCCCCCAGGGTTTGACCTTTGACCCTGTCATGCCATAAATGTCATCATGTTCTTTTCCGTGGCGAACGTGCACTTGTGCACGTTCGGTGCATTCGCACTGGGGAGTAGTAAAATACGTACTACTCCCTGATTTGAACATCGTAGATGTGCAGTGACATATTGCGCATGCGCGCATAAGTACGCGGAGCGTGCGACCTTCAGTGGCCCTGCGGAAAAGACGCAGTGCAACACAAGGTGTACTAGTACACGTGTTATTATACTAATGTGATAGCCGACCTCATATACGCTGTACGGGGAGATTTTTCCTCAGTATGTTGTAGGCGGTGCTGGAGGTGTCGTGACGATGGCGGAGCCAAGTGCAAAACGATCTAGGCAGCCCAGATTGCCCACCTCGAGTGCCGTGCGTGGTTTTTTGAAAAAGTTTTCTTTGCCAGGTTCCGGAACTGATCCTCTCGTCTTTTTCAGCAGCCATCATGACGAGCTCAGACAGGTTCTGCTCGAGGAGCTTCAGTCTCACCCGTTCAAGGTGGTTTTAGTTTTGAGGGTGGAGATGACACGAGAGTCGGCCACGGGTAGTACGTCTGCCGTCCCGTTTTTTAGAAGTAGACCGGCTCGGATCCTCAGCGAAGGGGACATTGATAGTGCAGTCAAGACGATGGTGGCGAGGATCACTGGTCTTATTGATAAGTGGGTGCAGAACGGATCCGACTGGACCGTTTCTCGAGTGAGACAGCTGGATGTGTCCACAGCAAAATACACTCCTCTTCGAGGTGAGTTTCTGTTCATCCGGCAGTGTTTGTTCCAAGCCTGTCGAATTTCTTGTGGAAAGTTGTAGATGTATTGTTTTGTACCAGATGTACAGTTTTTCGTGATTGACGAGAGGGTGTAGTTGTGATGTGGTGTTACTCTGAGCAAAGCCTTCGTTGTATTTTTGTGGTGTTCTGTAGGTGGTGCAGCTGATATCCCGCCCAAATTAGAAAAAAAGAAGGCCATCATTAACGTAAAGAACAACGATGACAGATGTTTGATGTGGGCGTTGTTGTCAGCGCTGCACCCCGTCGACTACAACCCACAGCGTGTATCCAAGTACACCCAGTACGTTGAGGAGCTGCGGTTCGACGGTGTGATGTTCCCTGCAACTCTCAGTGATGTACCCAAAGTGGAGTTACAGAATGGTCTTGCAATCAATGTGTTTGGCTACGAGGGGAATCTGTACCCACTCTATCTCAGCGAGCGACAGGAGACTCCCATCAACCTCCTTCTTCATGACAACCACTTCACATGGATAAAAAACTTCAGTCGTGCATGCGAGAATAAGAACAGACACGCAACACACTACTGCTTGCGATGCCTCTCCGCACACAAAACAGCAGACTCCCTGCAGCATCACAGCGAGAGATGTCAGGTGATGAAGCCCGTGCCAGTAGTCATGCCCACAGCAAAGGACAGCATCCTCAAATATACAAATTTGAAGCACAGGATGGTGGCTCCATATATCATTTACGCTGATACGGAGGCCATCATTGAGCCGATGGAGGAACAGCATGGCAGCAGCACTGTACGCACAGCACGTCATGTACCATGCAGCATCAGGTATGTTTTGTTGTTGGTGTTGTTTTTGACTAATGTTTGCTGTACTCATACCTGCACAGTGCTTGCTGTTATTCCTTCTTGTCTTGTTCTCCCCTAATTGTGTTCGTGTTGTAGTATGTGCATTTTGTGTGATTCCATTTTTTCAAAATCACTTATTCTTACTTTCCTTCTTCTTTTATGCTCTTGTAGATATGCTGCCATCCGATCCAACGGTGAAGTCCGTGGCGAGTTTGACGACTGCAGTGAGAATGCCATTCACAACTTTTTCGACAGTCTCAAAGAGTTGGAAGGCAGTATCCAGGAGGATTTGGCGGATATCAAGCCAATTCAGATGACGGCAGAACTGGAGCTTGAGTTTCAGAACGCAGTCAACTGCTGGATATGTGATGAAGTACTTGGAGAAGATCGTGTTCGTGATCATGATCATCTCACTGGTAAGTATTATAATTTTTTGTTTATTCTTGTTGTTCATGTGCTTTGCAGTTGTGTGTAGATATGCGTATGTGTATAGTGCATTTTCATGTCTTTGTAGCTGTTTGCATCTGTGTTTTATCATGGTGTATTGAATTGTATTGTCTGTGGTATCACCTTCACTGTAGATGTTTACTATGTTTGTGTATTCCCCTCTTTCTGAATATCTGCACAGGCAACTACCGTGGTGCTGCACACTACCAGTGTAATATTCAGCTGAGTATCTACCCAGATCGCCAGATCATTCCGGTTGTGTTTCACAACCTGAAAGGGTACGATGCTCACCACCTCATCGCCCACATTGGTATGACCGAGGTTGAAGAGGTGGAGTACGAGGACTCTAACCAGCGTAAGCGGATTAAGAAGGTTGGTGAGATCAGTGTCATCGCCAACAACATGGAGAAATATATTTCATTCAAGTGGCGTCAGTACCGCTTCATCGACTCCATGGCCTTCTTGAACTCCTCTCTGGACTCGTTGGTGAGCAACACCCCGGAAGATGCCTTCAAGCTTACTCGTACAATGGCCCATCATGACCTTCTCCGGCGTAAGGGTGTCTACCCCTACGAGTACATGGACTCCTTTGCTCGGTTTGATGAGACACAGCTGCCACCTAAATCAGCATTTGAGTCTAGTTTGACTGGAGAAGGTATCAGTGATGCCGACTATGCCCATGCTCAGAACGTATGGCAGGTAAGCAGCTTGTGCCTTCTGTATTGACCCTCGGAATTTCCCTGATGCCATGCTTTTTGCATCATTGTGCTCTACTTATGACTTTTGAATGCTGTTGTGATGTGCTCTACTCATTTTTTTGTACTCATTGCTCTCTATCTGTGGATATGTGGATGCTTGTGTGTATGGATGTGTGCATGCGTGCGTGCGTTGCTGTTTTTTGTTTTGTTTTGCAGACATTTGAGTGCAGTACAATGGAGGCCTATCATGACCTCTATTTGCAAACAGATGTCTATCTTCTAGCAGATGTCTTTGAGCATTTCCGCAAGACGGCATACAAGACGTATGGGTTGGATCCAGCTCATTACCTTACTCTCCCAGGTATGTTCATCAGTCTTTGTTGTTGTCCAATGTATTCTCTCCTTTAGATGGTGTTCTCTGTTAGTATTCTTGTGCTTTCTTGTCGGTGTATTTTTATACTTTTTGCATGGTGTATTGACTTTCGTGTTTGTGTTCTGGTGTGTTGCATGGTGTTATGTAGGATATGCATGGGATGCTCTACTACGGTTCACCCAGATTGAACTGCAGCTGCTCACGGATGTAGACATGCATCTGTTTGTCGAAGCCGGTCTACGTGGGGGCATCTCAATGGCGTCGCAGCGGTACGGCAAGGCCAACAACCCAACGATGGATCAGTACAATCCTGCCGAGCCCACATCATACCTGCTATACCTTGATGCCAACAACCTGTATGGCTGGGCTATGTGCCAGAGTATGCCGACATCTGAGTTTGCCTGGTGTGACAAGAACCTGTCCGAGATACTGGCACACCCTGTAGATTCGAGCACTGGGTTCATTGTGGAGTGTGATCTTGAGGTACCCTCTTCGCTGCACCACTACTTCAATGATTATCCACTCGCACCGGAAGTGATGAGAGCATTCTCAGATAAGCTATCACCATACCAACAAGCACTTGTGGAGGAGCTCAAAGTGTCAGCCGTAGATGGAGTCAAGTTGACACCCAGTCTCCTACCCAAGTCCAAGTATGTGTTACACTACCGTACACTGCAGCTGTATTCGCGTCTGGGCATGGTGGTGACCGCTGTTCACAAGGTGTTGGGATTTCAGCAGAGTGCCTGGATGGCTCCCTACATCAATCTGAACACTGCACTTCGCACGAGGGCTACAACCGACTTTGAGAAGAGCTTTTACAAGGTAAATGCAACCGTTGTGTGCAGTCTTGTATGTTGTTGTCGGTTGTTGGGTGTTGTTGCATGTATGGTGCAAGTGTGACGTGGAGTATGCTAATTGAAAATATGCTGATGTGAAGGAATGGCATGATATGATTCTCATGTGTCATGTTTGCCTGTTTGTGTGCTGCAGCTGATGAACAACTCAGTCTTTGGCAAGACGATGGAGAACGTTCGTAATCGAACACGCATCGATCTCTTGCGGGAAGAAAGTGAGGAGCAGGTACTGAGGGCAGTGAGCAAGCCTACATATGTGCGGCACGACATTTTCCCGAACGGGCTTGTCGGAATAGAAAAGCAGCACACTGAGATCAAGCTCAACAAGCCGGTCTATGTGGGTATGTCGATACTAGACCTGTCAAAGTTGCACATGTACTCCTTCTACTACGATGTGCTGAAGGAGCAGTACGGTAGCAGAATCCGGCTGTTGTACACCGACACCGACTCTGTTATTGTGCACATAACCACCGGTGATGTTTATGCAGAGATGGATCTGTCTCTGTATGACACCAGCAACTTTCCCACTGACCATCCTCAGTACACTTCTGCCAATAAGAAAGTGGTTGGCAAATTCAAAGATGAGCTTGGTGGGAAATCCATGGTGGAGTTTGTAGGTCTAAGATCGAAGATGTACTCCTACATCGGGCAGGAATCGGCCAAACGGGCCAAGGGTGTGCGGAAGGCAGTCCTGGCAAATACCATCACCCACAAGGACTATGTAGATGCACTGCTCAGTCATCGTGTGTCTGCCAGGCCTATGATGGGTCTCCGATCACATTGCCACACAGTGTATGAGGAGGTAACCACCAAGGTGGCATTGTCTCCATTCGACTGCAAGCGGTATATACTGGATGATGGCATGGCCACACTTGCATATGGTCACAAGGACATTTAATGGGCAGAACCCCACATTGAACATGTTTCATCATTTTCATGCAAAACTTCCCGCCATTCTTCTGTCTAATATTCCTCCTTTCTTGACATGTGGAGCTGGCTCCAACACTCCACATTTGTGTTAAATATTTCAGGCTTGTGCCTCAATTATATTGCAGGATATAGTGCATTGTGCGGTATAATAATCTTCATCGCATCATAAAATATTACCCTACATACTTTGGTTTGCAGTGTGTGCGCAGCATAGTCCATATATCATCAAATTGATCAAGTTCAGTATCTGCGGGCATATATTTCCCCAGCTTGAGAAAATGCTTATATACTTGCGTAAATTTATGCTCACAATGATGACATAAAAATGAGATTAAAGTCCATATGATGGCCAGTATGAATGTAGTTATGATGCTTGTTCTTTCGGCTGGTGAGGTTTGAGTGGATTTCTCTGCCAACACATTGCTGGCTCCGAACAGCACTGGTGCAAGCAGGAGTAGTTGTTGAGTAAGTTTAACTTTATTCAAACGCCCCTTCACTTTCTGATAGGTTCCGCTGTTGCTCGCAGTTGATGGCTCGGCTGATGGGGTGTCATTGCTTGAGGAGTCCATCTTGATCTTACTGTACCGGGAATTTTTCCTCACATCCATTCAACCATTAGTATGAGCAAAATTATGGCCAAAAAGGCTGAACGGGGATGAGTCCATACTGAGCGATTTGACCAGTTGAAGTCGTGTGTAAGGGTGTTTTCAAAACTTTGCCAACCTCCTTTTTCCGCCAACCAGGGCGAAACATTGGTGGTCATGTAATCTAAGTGCCAGGTCATGACATGATGTACATAGTGCAATCCCAGTTCCCTTGAATTCTCCATACAGATGTTCGCTAACTCGCTGCTGAATAAGTACAGGGCCACAATTTTAACATGGCTGATACCGTTTTTAAATAGTTCTTTTGCAAATGTAAGAAATTGCGTACGACCCGTTCTGGAGTTGAAACACAGTTGCTGCATCAGCACCTGAAATCTCGATCCACTGCGCCTGACTAAGCGACACACTCGTACCAAAACTCTAGAAAGCCGAGATGGTTTCGACTCCGGCGACGATACACATTGTGGTAGGTCTACATGACCTTGTTCTGCCAGTCGATCAGCAATAACAGCAGAAAGCAGATTTCTTGCAGTAGTCTGCATTGTGCACTGCATCATCGTTTCCCTCTACTACTATCCTTGGAAATATACCTCATTTCTTTCTGCGATACCCATTGGTTGAACTTTTCGGGGTATCCCTTCCACTTGACCAGCAAACTACCCTTACGTCTTTTCAACACCTGATCGATTCGAAATGTAGCTTGCGCAGTCTTCATGAGCTGCTGTTTGTAGAAGCTTCCTGTGATGGGTTCATCGGCAAGGTCTTTCACTTTGTAGGTGACCGGATAAGTGGGGAGAACCTTACGAATCACAAATACCTCTTCGGTCCAGTTGGGTGTGTATCCCTTCGCAAACATTCTTTTTTCCACTGTAATGCGAACTTTATCTCCGACTTGAAAGACAGGCTCATCCGCAATGGGCTCATACAGTTGCTCAATCGGTTTCCCTAGGGAGGCTTCCATGGGGGTCATCCCAATTGTACGGTGTTTACTATTGTTGTAGTTGTCGACAAGTTTTTGCAGCACATCGATGTAGACGTTGGTCGAGCGAGCGGTGAAGTGCTTCCACATACGAGATTTTAGCGTTCTGTTGAAACGTTCAACGACGACGGCTTTTCCTTCATTCTCTGTACTGTACATGTGAATGTCGTTTTTCTTCAACCACTCCTTGAACGTTTTGTTATAAAATTCCGAGCCATGGTCCACCCATAGTAGCTTAGGTTTCCGATTGGTTGTGACGGTTTTAAAGGCTGAGACAACACTATCCCCGGTTTTGCTCTTAAGTGGCACACTCCAAGCATACTTCGTGTATATGTCTATAACATTGAGAATATATCTAATTCCTTCGTTATATTCGCTAAAGGGCTGCATTTCTACGAGATCAGCACTCCATACATCGTCCTTGCCGTAAACGTCCACTTTTCTGCGTGGGAAATGTACTCGCTTAGGTTTATGTAGCTCATCGGCAAGATCATCTTGCCAATCCCCACCAACCATGACTTGATCGTTGTGAAGGGTATCGTGAGAGAACGTACAGGAGAGGAATTCCAATACTCCGTCTATACCAGTCTTTGAGAAGACTTTCGCTACCAAGATGGCATAACGTCCGCAGACCGCTGTGCTTCTATCTTGAATGACTTGCGTATTGGTGTACAGGTTGCAGCCGGAATAAACATTAAGAAAACATTGTTTTAGTTCCGGTTCTTTATAGTCTTCGGCCATCTGCATCAATGCACGCCCGAAGCTGTCAAATATCAGAACATTATCGCCTTCCCTACACACCGTCAGCCAATGGTGTCCCCCTTCGGGTTTGTCCAATATCGGGAGTATGTTGTCCGTGTTACACACACAAAACTCGCCATGGTTTAAGGCAGGCAGGAGATCATAGCTAGTCACACCTCGGAACCCGCGAATGTGTTTCAGCGCAGACTCGATGTCCACGTTGCTCAGCTCCACATCCATACCTAGTATACCAGGGATTTTCCTTTCAGAATAGCAAGTGTTCGGTAATATGGACTCCTTGTATTGCTAGCCACTTGCCGATTCTTGAAGACACTTTTGATAAAGGTGGCATCATCAGCCATGTACTCTTTGAGACCTAACATAAATTGTTCTGCGTTGATAAGTTTTGCTTCTTTGGTTCGAGTGTAGGCGTTGATCATATCTCCTATACCGGAATATTTGTCTGCGGATCCTGGTATGGCTAGAAGCTGAGTTCTTATTGCAGCCAATTTCACATTACTCCTCGAGTGGTTTGGAAGCGCATTAAGGTTGGCTGCTGCTGCAATCTGCTGGAATGGATAACGCGACAGGTGAAACTGATTGATTTGGTTGACCAGAGTAGCATAGTCTTTGAGGATTTGAAATTCGAGGGTATCTCTAGTGTTTTCCATTCTACCTCTGAGCCCCTGCTCATCCTCCTGATAGACTTGGTGTAGTTGCGGCCTTGCACTGAAGTGGCTGCTTTGCAGAAAGGCTTCCGGTATCTTATGGTCTACTAGGAGTTTACCAAATGTATTTATCACTATTCTATCAAACTTTGGCTCCATGGCGGTTTGCAGTGGGATACTAGCGGCAGAGATGTTTCGCCTCATTCTAGCCTCTGCTATGGACCCTCTTGCCATTCCAGAACTCTGATCATAATCGAGGAGATTCGATGCAACAGCATTAGTAACCGAGGATGGGTTTATCAGATCCGGATTGTTCTTAAATGTTCTATCATACATAGCCTTTACTCGAGGGTTTGATTTCACTTGGGAGATAGGAAATGGGCGATCTTCTTCGGGGATATAGGCCAGTGCTTCTCTCACTTGCCCGGAAAATTTCTTATAATCTCCACCTCGTACTGGAGGAGTACCTTGAACCTCCCACACGGTGTCACCTTTACTCAGGATATCCTGGGGGTTTTGTAATATCATCTTCATGGTCTCGTCTCTCTTCTCTGGTGGTATTGGGTGAGTACGGCCGTTGCACTCGATGCAGATAGGTTGGAAGTGCACCCGTATTCGCTCCATTTCTGTACAACGGGCTTAATCAATCTCATCCACTCCTACCCCCCGTGCTTCACAGCCAGCAATCCACTCAAAACTATCAACTTCGGATTCGATTTGGACAATTAGTTTTACTCTAGGGAATGTGACCTCCCAGGTGTCTCCAATCTTAGTGACGGTAACCGCATCCCACTCACTGTGGGTGGGTATAATGCGAACACTGACACCATCCATACTTACTATAGGCAGAAAATATTTTATTCAAACACAACCTTCGATGTTATAGAATCACAGTGAGTATAAAACTCATTGCGTGATGCATCGACCGCTAGAAAGGGTCTCCAACAAGCTTCTAATAGTTTTTCATAGAGTTTATAGACAAGATTAGCTTTCAAACAGGATCCGCCAAATAAAGTATGAAGATAGCGTTTGATGTTGGATTTATCTGTAAAGCGAAAAAGATAGAGGAAGTTGGTATTTATCTTCATATCTTTGATGTTATCAAAGCTTTGAGAGAGAAAGAACACATTAAGTTCATAATGATGGCTATACATGGTGAAAAACTTGTAAAGACATTCCCTCTGACTGCCATGCTTCAGTCCCATGACACGTATATCATCTATAATGACAAAGGACTTGGGCTGAATGTCCGTCTCTTCGATACACTCAGGCATTGCACTGTAATGTTTCAACTCCGTGCCTTCCTGCCTGTATTGCTCCGGTGAAGTATTGGAGATGACGTAAAGTCGTTCCGGCTTTACCTCTCGAAGTATTTCCTTGAGGTAATGGGATTTCCCCATGCTGCTCTGACCCAGAAATAGCACATTTTGTCCCCATGTTTGGAGGGAGGGGAGAATCTCAGAGTACTTGGGTTGAGATCGTAGAGACAGACCTGCTACGCGGAGTAAAGAGGCAGACCCTCCTTTCAGAGACAGCAGTGATGAAAAGTCCATACTTACTATAACGAGAAAAAATTAAATGTTAAAGCTCTGAGGTATAAACGAAGGGTTATGGGTATTTTCTATGCGAGTTCGGATACGGTCAGTAATGGTTTCTGGAGGGTTTGAGGATCGTCGTCTTCTACCTCTCTTCTTAGCTCCTGACTTGATGCCGGACTGTACTCTCGACTTTGCATGTTCAAACAGCTGCCTTCCCAGACCTTCAACCTCCCTCTTCAAACCGTCTCCTTTGCGCTTCCTTGCACGTTGCCCCCTGGAGAATTTGTTAGTGGGTGGTAGCTTCGATCGTCTTTTCTGAGATCGTCTCTTGCTTGCTCGAGTACTGCTTTTTCTACTATTTCCCTTTCGACCCCGGCCAAATACCTTGTCCACCAGATTGTCACCGACGGACGCTAGCGCCCCCATAGCTAAGGGTGCACCAACGGTTTTCAATATGGGTAGGGCTTTAGCCACGAGTCCCGGTGGAATGCTCAGTCCGCCTCGCTGCATCATGGGTTCACGGCCGGCTACCATCTGACGTCTGATGGACTCGCCGTCTTGACCTCGACCCAAGAGCATGGGAAGAAGCGACATGCCTAACATCGCCCCCATCCCAAGCCCACCCCTCTGGGTGAGCTTTTGGCCTTGTTCGGGGTCTTGCATTCTTTTTCGAAGCTCCTCAGCCTGTGCACCTCCAAAGATGTTTTTGATGAAGCCCCAGATACCAGACCCGTATTGTCTTTCCAAAGTCTGTAGATCACCTCCCCACGCTCGGGGTGTGGTTTCCAAATCTCCTCCCTGCATTGTTACTATAACGTGGAAATATTTACAC